AAAAAAAAAAAATCTGAAGTTTGGAGGTGCTGAGCACTGCAGTCACCTGCACCAGAGAAAATGAGGGTGATAATAATTGAAAATAAGTACCCACAACAGTCGCACTTATATGTTGCAGTGTATTTAATTAGTTACCATTTCTACCAGGAATGAGGGAGAAAACACAACCGCTGGAGGGGTGTGCTCTTTTTTGTGTTGTTCTACTGATGGCTAAAATGTGTGTGAAAGGAGACTTCTGCTGCATGTCAAATCATCCGTCAGTTCCTCCCTTCAGATTTATCATTGGAGTTTGCAACATTAACAGACATCATAAAAACCTGGATGCCAGAAGACTGAATTAGATATATTAGAGATATCTTGTAAGAGAGATGGGATTTAGACATGCACACACAGTTCTGATGTACTGGTGGAAAAAAAGGCATCCTGTTATTCTGCAAACTTTTATTGTTAGCAAATTCTGTGGAATTCTGAGACATTAGGTGAAAAGGATCTTTTTCCTCAGAGATTTGGTTTAGAGCCAGAGGCAATATACTGAATTATACAGAGCTGTGCTTTTTTTTTTGGCAACTTCAGTTTTCATATTATCTTTGGTGTTTTTGCAGGGATGATAGGGAATTTAATGCTTACAGCTTTAATTTTGTCTAATCATTTGAGACCCAGACTGAATATGCATATATGTTTTCAGTGGAAAGTGTTGCAGAGTACTCAAAAAAGACAGCCATGTGCTTGGGCAAGGAGCCTGCAGGGTACCAAAGGCTACTGGAGTATGTGCTCTGATGGGCATACCAGAAACATTTTAGACTGAGCCTTGGACTATGTAGACTGTAGTCCTGTCCTTACTGATGTCCTGGTGTCTTCAGTGTGCAGAGTGCTGGAAGATTACAGGCAGATTTGAAGGTGGTACATACACAGTTCTGGCAGTGCATGTACCATCTATTAGATCCCTGGCGTAGTTCTTTACTCCATCCCAGAAATAAACGATGAGGTTAAACCCCAAAAAAGGTGTTTTGTTTGCATGAGAGGCAGCCTACCACTGGTGAAGACGAGCTCCTGGCTTGTTTTTCATTCTAGAATGCATGTGGACTTGACCTGCAGGTGAGGAAGGAACTAAATATTGCCACTGACTGAATAGGAATCTATCTGCCTTGATTATACCTGATACCTATTAGGATTCAAGAAAGGAGGAAGAACAATTTTAGTCATCCTGTCAAGGATAACCGGGCTATTGACTGAGAGCTTGTATCTTCCATGGTGAAACATGATTGTGGTAGTGATAGAAATCCAGCCTCCAAAGTTTTATGTCTTTTTCTTCCTTTCCTGTTCCTCACAGACACGTGTATCCATTTCCACAGCCTTTTTTACACCACCAACTTTAAGCAACACCTTATTGACAGTTGACTGCCACGTACTGCAGGGATGTGCTGTGGGAAAGAGGGATTTAAATCAAGCCTTCACTGCAGCAATTCACTTACATTCACTAAGGTGTGCACCTTTGGAAGCAGCGCACACGTGATATATCTCCACCCAAACCGGAGTAAGGGAGCTGGAGCTGCTTAAGCCAAGGCTAAAGAGAGGGCGTGGGTGGTGAGCACCTATAATCCAAGCTCGCATCTGCCAGCACTGGTCTTGCAGCATTGAACTGCCTTTGTCCAGAGATGAATTGAGCCCTCTGTCTTGGGCATCAAGAGAGGTCATTCGGTTTCTCACCATGGATTGGGACAGTTTGTACAGCTGTCTCAGGTGGGGAGCAGTTTCTTGGTTGCTTTTGGGGTACATCAATGCTCGGGTAGTTCCTCAAATGTCTTTAGAAAAGTGGGGTCTGTAAGAGCAGGTCTTGGCAGCTAGCACATCACAGGTCTGGCAGGCTGATTGTATTTATGTTTTTCCTCCTTTAATTAAATTCTGGACACAGGCTGAAGTGATCCAGTGGCATAACAGCCCAGCTTTGATCCATCCAGGGCCCAGTCCTGTCCTGTCCTTCAGAGCACACAGTTCAAATGAAAGCGAGCTACTGGATTTGCAGCCAAATTATATTAAGAGCAGCTCACAGCCATCAGCTGGGATATAACAGGGCAGGGTTTTTTAGGAAGGCAAGAAAGAGGAAATCATAGAGTTGTTTTGGGTTTAGGTTTGTTGTTTTTTTGTTTGGTTGGTTGCTATATTAAAATAAAATGCAGCTTATATAGGTAAAAAAGGAAAAATAAGCACCAATGTCCTTGTGATTTCTTGGTAACTGTCTCTATTTTGTTTAATACTGATTGCAGTAAGACAATAACACATATGTACATGTGAGTGCACATGTACTTAAAAGTATAGCCATTGTTAGTGCCACCTACTCCACTATAGGGCCTCATTGTGTGAGACCCAGGGCAGGTACATACAAGGTTCCTGCATTATTAACTGCCTAATTAGGCAAGACATAGAAAGAATAGTTGAAATCCTTGCTGATTTAGAGTTTCTGATGTTGTAAGAGAATTTTCTGTTTGTAGATACCGTCCTAAGTAAGGTATCACCCTTTCCTTTTGCCTTGCCTCAGACTCTGAAAGCACAGATCAGCTATTTTTCTCTGTACAGTAGCTGGCACACTTTTAAAATGCATTGATACTTTCAAGGCAAGGCAAGACAGCTTTTGTGTGGACAGGTGGGACGGAAAGGGACATGAAGGAAAGGATAGGTGTGAAGAGTGTTGTCCTGTGTTTCCGCCCTTTTAGATTATTTCAGATGACATCATGCAGCAGGTGAGTCCTTAGTCATGTGCCTTGGCTTGTAGCATTTTCAGGGATGTGCAGTGTAATCACAGATACTGTGTCTGTCCATTGTGGTGTGACTTGATGCTTACTCACTGCTTCCCCTCTGGCCCTTTTTTAACCCCAAGGTGGAGTGGCTGAAGAATGAAGAGGTTATTGATCCCGTGGAAGACCGAAATTTTTACATCACTATCGATCACAACCTGATCATCAAGCAAGCCCGGCTTTCTGACACAGCCAATTACACCTGTGTTGCAAAAAACATTGTGGCCAAAAGGAAAAGCACCACAGCAACTGTGATTGTCTATGGTAAGTGGTGCTTTGTCCCATTGCAAGTGGATAGATGCACACTCAAAGCGAGAGGGGTAGGAGGGGGATGCAAAGTGCGTGTGTGCAACTCTAGTTGTGGTCAGTCTGGGCTGCCTGTGCTGCCTGTTGACTTGCAGCCATGTGCAGGAACTGCAGTCAGGGTTCATTACTGAAAATATCAGAAGTGCAGGTGTGATGGCTTGGCTTATTGGTGACAGGAAATGGTGACGGGAGGATAAGGCATCTACACACACAGCCAGCTACTCAATGAAGAGGCGGCGGTTTTTCCCCTTACCATAACACATGCCAGCTGGATACAGCAAGGAGCCCCCAGGGCACATCCTCCAGCAGGAGTGTCCAAGGCATTGCTTACTACCAGCACAGTTCACGTTCTTAGTGACGCTTTTCAGAAATAAGAGTGAAACTGGTGGGAAGTTTGTGCTCACAGATACTGGTAAGAGTGTCAGAGCTCATCAGAACCCTCCATCTTCTTATATCTCTTTAAATAAGCTTGTTTTTGATGTCTACTGCCAAAACATGCCCTGAAGTCAGGGGTGAAGTAACAAAGCATTCTGGGACTGCAGTTCAGAGGCACACAGCCTAGCTTAAAAATAAATGTCAGGGGAATACAAAGCATGGGATAGCAGTATTCTGTGTCTGCATCCACAGTCCTGATATAACTGAGGCTGGTCGTGCTTTGGCTGTGGAGGGGCCGGGTAAGATGCCCTTCTAAGGTCTCTTCCAGCCTGTGTTGCGCTGCAGCTCTGCCCCACCAGGTTGAGCCTTTGCCCCTGCAGAGTTACTGCCCCAAATGCATCCCAGGTGGAGGTATCCACCAGAACAAAACCTGCTCTGATGATGTGCCAGCTGACTGAACTGGTGTTCCTTACAATCAGCTTAATTATAGGATAGACAAGTAGGAAAAAATCCCTATGATTATCCCTAATATTCATTTCATATTCAGGGTAGCAGTTAGATTTAATTGTAAGCAGTTGCTTCCCTGAAGTTACAATGAGGGCCTTTTAGTTCAGTTTTTATAGAAAACTGACTGAATTGAGTTGATTAGCAGTGGTTGTGATATTGAGGAATGGACCATGCAAGAGCTCCGTGTTTTGTAACTGTGATGAATGCAGTAACATAAAGATGTAGGCAACTCCTCCTCATTCATATACAGATTTTTTTTTCAACAGTGCATTCAAGAGACATGTGTAGGGGAGTAGCATTTTTATGGGTTTTGCTACAAGAGCTGCTTAAGGGTTGTATCATATCACAAACATTTGGGTTTAGAGAATCTGAGCAGTTAGTATGTTACCCATACACTGGCAGTGACATTCTTATGTAGAGCAGCATAGCTCCTTCTTCATCTATCCATATATCCCAGAAAATGAGCTGGGTGAAAAGGAGACTCAGCATAAATATCTTCACAAAGTCAATTAAAAAAAAAAATTCATTTAGTGTTAGTTCACTCTGAACAGCTTAAATATCTGTTAGGGAAGTGCTGAGATATTCATATGCACCAGCTAGGTCCACAGAGGGGTTTGTGAAGTTGTCCTGACATCCGGAAATCACCTTCTTCAAAGAAAGGAGAAGAAAATTATCAATATCTAATCAAAGTGAGGGGGAAGGGGCGGGGTGTGTCTCAGCATACATAGGTGATGGGTGCATCTGAGCTTGTGTGGGAGTGCAGGTTTTCTCCCTTTGGAAAATGCTGCAGCTTTCAGAGCATGGGCTTCTGGCTGTCAGAGCTGTGTGTGCCCTCTGAATCTGCAGGGATTTTGATCATACGTTCTCCATCAGGAGCTTAAGGCTGGGTCAGGTCAGTTTTCAGCGTAAGGTTCGTCACCTGCCATCCCTAATAGTCATCAAACGGTGTTTTTCACTTGGCATCAGCATTTCTTCAACTTTTTGCAGTGACTCCTGGCATACACTGGGCACGTTGGAGACGTGGGTTTTGTGTCTGTTCAGTGTCGCTTCTCATGCTATTCCCAGCCATCACTTTGGGCTGACCAAGCTGACCTGCTTATGGGATCACACTCTTTCCCTCTTGCTTTTCAGTGAACGGAGGCTGGTCTACCTGGACTGAGTGGTCAGTGTGTAACAGCCGATGCGGGAGAGGCTTCCAGAAGCGCACGAGGACCTGCACCAACCCTGCCCCCCTCAACGGTGGTGCCTTCTGCGAGGGCCAGAGCGTTCAGAAAATAGCTTGCACCACTCTGTGTCCAGGTTCAGTATGAACAGCACACAGCCCTAGATACATTGTTTGTCTGTCATCAGTCATTTCAGGAGAATACCCTGAGTTGCAAAAGCCTGCCTCCCGTTATTAATAAATCCAACATTTCAGGGAACGAATATGAAATTGTATTACATAAGTAGATAAAATAGTGAGCACATCATATCGAGCCACATGGGTTTCAGCCCTACTTTTGCACGCTGCTTACACTGATGTCTCAGCCCTCATAATTCAGGAGATTTGGGGAATATTTGGAGTTTCAAATTGTAGGAGATAATGGTTGAAAGCTCTGGAAAAGGATTGGAATTTGAATATAGCAAGGAACAGTGATGTAAATATATTTGCAATGTCTGTTCAGTCCAGCTGTCTGAGCAACTGAAGCATCTGGGATGTGGATGTTAAATTTGAGACACGTTTACCTGACTTCAAATAAAAAGACATTTATTCTACAAAGAGATGTGTATCCATACCTTTAAAAGGTATTTAAATGTAAACTTCTGAAAAATACAAAATTGCTTCAGGACACACCAGATGGTTGGTACTTATCTATGACAAAGTTCTGCCCCCATTGTCCAATGCTTTCCTGTTTCTACAGACCCACTCAAATCAATGTCAGTAGGGTCATCTTCAGCTTGTTAAATTTGGCCATCCAGCTCTGTCACAGGAACAATTTAATATTTTGTACTTCACCTGTTCAATTTAGTGCTTTTGAAAGTCATCTGCAGGACTCTGAAAGGCACTAAACACATTCCTGATTCTGCTCATGTGAAATAGATTGGTACCTCTCTATATTTCTTTTAATAGGGAGTATTTAAAATTAAATATTTTCCCACTAAAGAAGAATTTTTGGACCAGTTTAACCTCTGTGTTAAAAAATGCCAAAAAATAAGATGAAATCACAGATTCCTGACTTGTTGCTTGTACATTTTAAACGCAGATAAACTAGTTAGAGGTTTATGTAAAGAGGAAGAAAGACCAGAAAAGGGGTCAGGGCAGAGGAAAAGGAGAGGTGAGGGCGAATGTGCATTTACATGATAGAAGCAGAACTTAGAGAAGAGCAGGCTGATGATCCTTCTGCCTTGCCAGAGATGGCCAGGAGTTGTGGGCTAGCTTTGTGGCATTGTGTGCATCAGTCTTCCTTGGTCTGACTTCTGTGTACACCCTAACAAGTTGTTCTTTCCTTGTGTCAGTGGATGGCAAGTGGACGTCCTGGAGCAAGTGGTCCACCTGTGGCACGGAATGTACTCACTGGCGCCGGAGGGAGTGCACGGCCCCAGTGCCAAAGAACGGAGGGAAGGACTGCGAGGGGCTGGTGCTGCAGTCCAAGAACTGCACCGACGGGCTCTGCATGCAGGGTAAGTGCCACTGTGACCTCTCTGGGATCTGGGATGTGTATGGCCACGGAGAAACCTGAAATAGCTGCAGATCAGCATCACTGACCTAAAGTCACAGAATCATTTGTAGAAGAAATGAGTTGATCCAGTTCTCACCGGTCTGGGCAACCCATTCTTTTTGTCTGAAGATGAATGTAATGCTGTCTGAGGTGTATGAAATTGAACAGTGAAGAGTTAGAAAGAGCCATAACAGAGCTTTCTCTCCCCTGCCCTCCCCACCAAACAGTTTTCCTCTCTCCAAGGGTGCAGCATCTGTCCAGAGAAGTTTATCAGTGGCTCTTACAGCAATGTAAATGGAAAAAAGGAGCATTTTGGGCAAAGTCAGCATTTTCCAAACTGTAAATTTGGCCAAACAGATCAGCTTGTGGCTTCTTAATGTTAGGAACAGTGGTTGCACGTGTTTCTACGTGTAATAGTTATGCGCCTTTTTGAATTTCGAGTGCCCTGTGGTAGAAAGAGGTAGGCTGTGTCTAGGCAGAGCCAGTGCAAACTTTCATATAGAGTCATCATCATGCTGCAGCCTTGTGAAGATCAGCTCTAGCATTGAAGTCTGTTCTGCCTGCACCTGTTCGTGCCATGTTCCCGCCCTTGTGACTAATAGGAGAGAGAAGTAAAAAAACCCCAGGCTTTAAGTGTGATTTGACATACACTGATGAACAATTTGTCTGCTCTGCACCCCATCCTTTATCAAAAATGAGGTCTTCTCTGGGCCGTTGGTGCCTCAAAACTCCTTTTCAAATTTCATTAGCACAATAACCTGAGCCAAAATCGTCACATACACATCTCTTCTGTCCCTTCATCCCGTCTTCTAACAGTACTTTTCTGCCAAACCTCAGCTGTCTGTTGTCCAAAGAGTTGGGGCTTTAACCATCCAATATCTATGTGTCCAGATCATAACGCACTTTGAGTTCTCTCATAAAAAAGGAGTTAAGAATTTTTTATTCTCTGAGGCAGGTTACTTTTGACTGAAGTAATCACAATGACAGAAAAGTGACAGTACTAGCTAATACATGGGTCTGCGCCTTGAATAATTACTTTATAGGATGGCTACTGTGCTGGCAGTGATCTCTGAGCTATCTTATGGCACAGCATGGCCACTTGTTCTGGGGTTTCCCAGAGTTACAAATAGCTTCTTCAGTGTGGCTCATACAAACACTTCCATCATGTTAAAAACTATTAGTCAATGTCAGCAGCCTATGAAGCTGTAATGCCTCAAAAAATCTCTTTTTTACGGGGAAAATGGAAAGGTAAAATTTAGAGCTTCTCTCTTTTTCATTTCTAAAGATAGAAAAAAAAAATAAAAATCTATCCATGTCTTACTGTATAACACTGTGACTTTTATTGTGGGGAAGCCAGCATACCCTTAGCTCCAGCACTGTTAATAAGTCATTATGGTAAATTAGGAAGAAAAGATACATTTCCCCATACAGAAGAGCTCTTCACTATCAGATTATATTTAGACAGGTGTATGTCATCTTTGTGTGTGTGCATAAAGAGAGCCATTTAAACAGAAGTCTTGTGGAAAAGTAGATATAATGGTACAGCAGAATAAAAGCCCTGTAGGGATCTCGTTTATCTGTTGATGGTATATTGCATTTTATTTGTGAAAGTGGATGCTGAGAATAAAGCAGAGGTCTTCAGCAGGAGAGAGGGTGAAACTGTTGTGAATCCTATTCTGCTTCATATATATGTATATAAAAAATGATAATGAAAAATATGCAGTCACATAATGACCTGCTTAGCTCCAGGGGCCGTGGTAATCCTTCAGTGTAGGAATTTAATGGCAGTGTTTTAATGGTGTCTTTATACTCGCGGGGTTTCATATACCTGTAAAACTTACAGTCCTGCTCCCTGATCCATCACTGCTGAGAAGATTGATTTGCCGTACTTGGTGGCAATGTGCCTGCTGCGCTCTCCCTCTCTCTCCCCCCCTCTCTTTTTCTTTATTTCTCCTTCTCAGTTTATGCACAATCAATCTGAACACTTACATTTTTGCCCATGTGGATTTAGGTTCATAGGAAATCTGCCTGCTGAGCCAGGAAGACACACTGGACTCCTTTCATTCCTAAAACAACATGCTTCTTTCCATATTATTTGAGGTTTTTGGGGACTGGCCAGGAACTGACATTTCTCCTAGCCTGGGAACCTGTGGATCCATATCAGACTTTTCCAGTGCCTTCATGCCACTGAGTCTGGCATGGCACATGTGGCATGGAGGAAGCTACAGCCACCTTTTTTTCTGTGGCCATGGCCCCCAGGGAGATGTGTTGGCCAGCTGCTTACCTGCCCCATAGTCAAATCCTGTTCCTAGATGACTTGGTGCTGCCTCCTTACTGTCAGCCTTTAGTGAGAGCTTGAAGGTTAACACTGGGGATGTAGTCAGGGTCAAAGAATTAGTAGACAGACCCTCTTACAAGGAGTCAGTAGCCTGTTGCTTTGACAAAAACTCACTTGTAAATATATATCCTTATAAAGCTACACGTAAAAGGTAACCTGGAAAATGCTGGATTGAATGAGTCTAATTTACAAGCCCTTTCTCTTCCAGTCTGTTATTCACTTCAGTAGCATCAGCTGGATAGATCAATAAGCTCTTTCATCAGACTGCTCCTGCTCCAGCAAAGAGCAGGAGTCTGCACCACTATCGATTTCTGTGGGGATAAAAACTGTGGAGCTTTCTCCATCCCTTGTAATTACAGCATTTTACACCCAAAGCTGTAGCTTGTGCTTACCACTAACTGTGGCATTTCTCATGCAACTCGGCTGTCACATTTATTCAGACTAATGATCTTGCTAGTATACAAATATACTCCCTTATCTAGTAGTTAGTATTTTTCTGTTAACCTGAAGAGATGAACTGTCATTAAACTAGAGAGCCTGCAGAGACACAGCAGGCTGAATTGAAGAGGAAAAGCAGATGTAGTGAAAATTTAGGGTGGTCATTGCTATTTTTAGTTTCCAGATGCATAATATTGCTTAGCAGGTCCATTATAACAATTCCATAATTCCCATAATAGCATTAATATGATCTTCTGGAACAAAACATGCTGTAGGTGTAAGAAGAATTGGCTGGTTACCACCCACACTAGTCGCATTATTGCCTCCATAGTTGCATTATTTCCCTTTTGATGTATGAGTACTGTGGTAAATACTTCTGTGCAGGGAACACCACTTTTAAAGGTACGCACTGCATCTCACAGGGGATTGCTATAAACTGAAGCACTGCAATTAGCCCTTCACTCATCCCACCTAATGACTTTGGTGGGTGTTCTGTGTGGAGAATAAGAAAGCAAAGCACTCCCCTGTTGGCTAAAACTTCAGCACAATTAGTTCCCTTCACTAGGTCACAAATTATTTTAAAGCAACATACAAGTGGAAGTCTTTGGCTGGACTCAGTCTGGAATGACTGCTAGATCATTTATCTGGTACAAAGCAGATGCTACAAGTCCTTTGGCAGGCCAAGTTCTGCTTTGTATTATGTGTAAAATGCTGCTGGTAGTCAGGAAGAGGTGGACCCTATGAGAGTACTTAGCTGTACTGCATGGTTATGTTGAAGGCTTATTACCTGAGTTGTGACATGCAGCTGTCATGCTCAGAGCCTGTCACCTATATCCTATCTGTTGAGGATCTGAAGTGACAGTGTTCAGATCTATATTGTCCCTGTCCTGAATGAATAAGTACAGCGAGTCTGTACGTGTGAGGTTGGTGACTGCTGGGCTTCTGGTCTTTTCTGAAATCATGCCTGGGATGTGTAGGGTTGGCACTAGAACAGTCAGGAAAATAACTAGTGCCCCTTTTTCAGCTCACTCTTGGCTTTAGTCAACCGCTGTGGCTTTTCATAAAAGGCTGGCTAAGTTGTGCTTTTGATTTTTTCCAAAACACAGGGTTTGCTGTCTCACAGCAACAAACAAGATAATACTGAAGCACATATTGTTCCTTGAGGACTATGGATTATAGAGTTACATAAAGAGTACTGTTTCTTTGTGTAGTAAAATTGTTTATTTTATAGTGTCATAATATGGAATAAAGATCCATCATTCAGTAGGGCTGAAAGGAAATTCCCACCTGTGAATCATTTCCGAGTGTCATCAGATCCAGTATGGACTTTTCCTTTGTTGCATGAGCATGAAAAGACTGAGATGTTCTATTGTCATTTAAAGAATGGAAGAAAAGATTCAAAACATCTTCATTTGTTGTTAATCTGAACTAACTCTTGGATCATGCTGGTGATCACTTTCTCTCCCTGCATGTAGCTTAACTACTTAGAAACTCAAATAGCAGATGTGCCACTTGAGAAAAAGATGCCTATGCCATGGTGAAGATGTTATTATCGGCCTAGTAATTCCATTCCTTTTTTAAAAAGACTTCCTTCTAGTCAAGAGTGAATTGATGTGAAATGGTGATGACAAATCCGTATTTGCTGAGCACTCTGAAATCCTTGTCTGAAAGGCAGTGTGAAGTTCATAAGGTTCCCTCTTGCAATGATAGTGTGTAAGCGAGTGAAAAAGATGCAGTTTATCCTGCTCTTGTGTGAAATGGCTAACTGCTGCCCTTTTCCAGTCTCATCTCTGTTTATACAAAGATCTGGAGTGGAAGGCAAGGTTACCCTGATACTACCATCTCTTTCTTCCCAAAACATAAATATTCTGCACATGCCTTGCTTGTTTAATATAACATGTCAGAACCTCTGATGGAATAAGTATTCGTTTCCCTTTTTGGCTTGATTTGAAAGCAGGCATTCAGGGAAGAATTACAGGGTAGAGCAGCTTGGTCGGGACCACAGGTCCACCAGAGCAGATTAGTATGCAAAGAGCAGGGGAATGTTTTCCAGACTCCAGAAGGCAAGCAGAACTCTCTCAAGGGAGACTGCAACAGAAGCCCATGTGTGCAGAGGAATGAAATAAAACCTTTTATTAAGAGCATGTGGGTCAAGAGAGAACTAATACGTTCAGTCTGTCAGCATA